AAAGGACAAAAAGTATAGCCAAAGCCGGACAAGGAATCAGAGCATTGCATGAGGGAGATACATTCCTTAATTTTGAATAATTTCCAAAATTTTGTAACAGCAAATTTTAATAACACAAAATCCGTATTTTCATGCCAGTACCGAAGTACTGGCTATTGGGATGTTGATGCCTTCGGGGACTATCAGTCCACCAGCAGAGGCATCGACCCAGTGGTAGTAATAACATAAACGGTACCAATTTTTCTGCAACAGATGCGCATTTCGACAATCAATGTCTCTTCAGTGATGCTCGAGGCCAAAATATTTAAAAATCCAAAGCTTATTAAAAAGATGAAGAGCTATAAACCAAAAAGGACCTGCAAAGACAGAAAAGACCGACTTTTAACATTTTATGTAACTCACATCAAACATTAAACATAATATAAAGCAGCAGTTAGGATGACGATAAGCGTGCATCCTCTAAATAATCCTGTTAAAATATTGATATTCTATCGATAAATGTAAAGGGTTATGTTTTATTTGGCAAAATAGGAGCAGAAATATAATTCTCATTCTGATTAGAGTCCCACAACATATCGTCAATATTATATTGCAGGATATTCAATGTTGAGGTTAATGGAGAAATTATATATGAGCATTAACCCTATTTGACCCAAAATTAAGACAAGTAATGCAACAATATATATTTTTTTTGTGGTTGGATGTTGTTTATATGTAGAGGACAGAAAGAGCTCAATTTGATTAAAGTTTGAACGTTTTTATTTAAAAGCAAGACATGGGTAGTTATGTAAGACAAAATAAATATGTATTCCTAACTCTACTGGTAGACTTTTGGTCACCGAAGGTATCAGCTGCCCATTATATACATTTGCATGGAAAAACGGATATTGGTCATTAAAATTTGCAGATATAAAGACTTAGTAAGGAAATAGACTGAATTATGGAATGCATCTCCCTCATGCACGGTTCTGATTCCTTGTTTACATCTCCCTCATACACGGTTCTGATTCCTTGTTCACATCTCCCTCGTGCACGGTTCTGATTCATTGTTCACATCTCCCTCATACACGGGTCTGATTCCTTGTTCACATCTCCCTCATGCACGGGTCTGATTCCTTGTTCACATCTCCCTCATGACCGGTTCTGATTCCTTGTTGACATCTCCCTCATGCACGGTTCTGATTCCTTGTTCACATCTCCCTCCTGCACGATTCTGATTCCTTGTTCACATCTCCCTCATGCACGGTTCTGCTTCCTTGTTCACATCTCCCTCATGCAAGGTTCTGCTTCCTTGTTCACATCTCCCTCATGCACGGTTCTGATTCCTTGTTCACATCTCCCTCATGCACGGTTCTGATTCCTTGTTCACATCTCCCTCATGCACGGTTCTGATTCCTTGTTCACATCTCCCTCATGCACGGTTCTGCTTCCTTGTTCTCATCTCCCTCATGCACGGTTCTGATTCCTTGTTCACATCTCCCTCATGCACGGTTCTGCTTCCTTGTTAACATCTCCCTCATGCAGGGTTCTGATTGCTGGTTCACATCTCCCTCATGCACGGTTCTGCTTCCTTGTTCACATCTCCCTCCTGCACGGTTCTGATTCCTGGTTCACATCTCCCTCTTGCACGGTTCTGATTCCTTGTTCACATCTCCCTCATGCACGGTTCTGATTCCTTGTTCACATCTCCCTCATGCACGGTTCTGATTCCTGGTTCACATCTCCCTCATGCACGGTTCTGATTCCTGGTTCACATCTCCCTCATGCACGGTTCTGATTCCTTGTTCACATCTCCCTCATGCACGGTTCTGATTCCTTCTTCACGTCTGACAATACGTTTTGTTCTTTTAAGTTTAACACCAGCTCTGCAAAGTTCGCATGTGGTTTTGGATTTCCAAATATTTTAACTTCGAGCATCACTGAAAAAAACGTATTTGTCGACATGCGCATTTGGTGCAGTAAAATTTGAATAACTGAATTGTATTATCACATTCATTTGTTTTGACTTGTGAAAATCTGAATAATTTAAAAAAAAAAAAAAAAGATTCATATATCATAAAAATGTTAAACGTTCTACTAAAGGTTTGTAAAAAGACATTTTTAACGATTGTCAATTGTCGCGATATCTTATCTATGATCTGGTTTTATCTACCACTTTCTCTACAAAATATGTCTTTTCAAAGTCAAACTATGAATGCAACGCATGTATTCCTTCAATACTAGACAGTTGATATGCTTTTTATTTCTAGAACACTTGAGACTGTTTTTGGACAATTTTGAAAACAACTGATAGATTAATTGTCGTTCGTTTTACTCTAGTGGCAAATTTCGTACCTGTTCAGAACAAGACTAATTAACATTAATACAATAGGTAGATCCTATAACTGGGGTTAACCAGGTTGAAGGGTGGAAAATTAAGAATGCCACTGCAAATGAGGAAACATTGGTTAGGGACAGAAATTTATCCTTGCAACAGGCCACTTACTGATCCCTAAAAGTGTTGTTGCGATGGTTCGTAAGGTGCAGAGAGCAAGACATCGTATTAAACGTTCCATTCTGACCGTACGTAATTGTAATTTAATATCTGCGGCACAACAAAACAGACGTCCCACTTTGAGCCAGAAGAAGTTCAAAAGTGATCATATGCGACAATGTCGTTTATTGCCTTGATAAATTACTTCATTTACCATAATCACTTTTAATGTCAACTCAAATCTGGATGATGGAATACAAATAACGAATTTTATTTGTTTTTATAAATTCTAGACGTTTAACATAAAGGCTGATGTACACGGAGGAAGCATCAAAGAGGATATCGTGGTAGACTTGAAAAAGAATTTGTTGACTGTAAATGTTGGAAGCGTGGCTCACGTTGAGTCTGATTGCCCTTCTACTATTAATCTTCATGACTTTAAAAAGGTTTTGTATTACCTACATAAGATTGATGTTTAACCTTTCATGCATCATACATGGTAATTTGCCGAAGAACTTTATTTGTTTTTTATTTTGCATGTTTTGTTTATACTACACAAATTCCTTTAAACACTATAATAAGAAAAAAACGTCTTTTTAACCTTAAATGTACAATGCGACTGTCATACAAGTGAAAGGTTAAGCTAGCTATAAAACCAGGTTTAATCCACCATTTTCTACATTTTCGAAGGAAGTACCTGTGCCAAGTCAGGAATATGACAGTTCAGATTCCCTTTAATTGGAAAATTTGACCTTATGACGTCAAAGAATTTCCCATAATGCAATTATTGCATATAAATAAAAAAAACTACTATACCAATTGAATAAAAAATATTGCATTCAAATGACATTTTATACCAATTGAATAAAAAATATTGCATTTGAACGAAAATTATACCATTTGAAAGAAAAATTATACCATTTGAATGAAAAATTATACCATTTGAATGAAAAATTATACCATTTGAATGAAAAATTATACCATCTGAATAAAAAATATTGCATTTAAATGAAAAAATATACCATTCAAATAAAAAAATATTGCATTTAAATGAAGAAATATACCAATTAAATAAGAAATATTGCATTTAAATGAAAAATGTCAAATTTTTGCAACCAATACCATGCCATACAATATCACTGTTATCGATTGTATTTTTGTGTTTTCTCAATACATAAAATAGCTGTTTCTTTGTTTGGCCAGCAAACAGGAAGATGAATTGATAAGATCGGTCCCAAGTTATCAATATCTGTTCAAACATTATGACGACGGTATTAGGTCCGGGACAACTTATTTGACGTCACAAATCCATGATATACAACTTGAACGAGGGCAGAGTGAATTGATGTACACGCAATTGATACAGCTACATAACGACATATATATATATATATATATAAAAACGTCTCGAAGTTAGTATGAATCGATTGAACAGAAAAAAAAAATAACTCATATATATGTCGTTAATACCACATTCACCTGATATCCAAACAATAAATGACATTAGACAGCCACTGACGAGGTTCCTGAAATAAGTATTTATTGTAATCTCAATCTTCGAATGTTCATATTCTATTCAGAGCAAAATAAAAACTTCTTAATAAATATTTATGTTCCAATAATTACAAAAAAAGATTTGTTAAAAACAGAAATTGTTATAATAGCTTGAATAACAATAAAGTGAACCATTCAATGATAATCTTTCTGGCGTCTTTTTTTTCAAAATTAGAGGCCAATTAAACCAAATTTTATGAACTTTTATTTTCAAAAAAATTCCTGAGGATATCAATATCTGTGTAGACAAAGAATAATTCCTTTACTTTGAGTGAGAAACGTCATTAACCCTTGCCATATGGTCCAGTCATTTGACGTGTTGGCTGCCATTTTCGGTTTTTGGTTTCAAAGATGGTTTCAATAATCTTTTAACAGAAAACATCTTCTTCAACAAATCTAAATGTTATTTATTTATAATCTAATAACTGAAGGAGCGAAAATGCAGTCTTAGAACTATGTTGTTGACAAAAAGGTATTTTAGGTCGGGTTTTCACCAAGGGATATAGAAATAAGAAGATGTGGTATGAGTGCCAATGAGACAACTCTCCATCCAAGTCACAATGTATAAAAAGTTAACAATTATAAGTCAAAGTATGGCCTTCAACACGGAGCCTTGGCTCACACCGAGCAGCAAGCTATAAAGGGCCCCAAAATGACTAGTGTAAAACAATTCAAACAGGAAAACCAAAGGTCTAATCTATATAATAAACGAGAAACGAGAAACACTTATGAACCACACCAACAAACGACAACCAGCGGGTTTAAACGTTTTAACAGGCGTCAACCTTCACCCTAACCTGAAACAGTAGTGTAACATTACAACATAAAAAGACATATGCATATTTTAGGTCGTGAAGTAATAAAAATTTATTATTACATTTTTGTCACTGACTGCAGATATTTTTATCGAACTAAGGTAGATATACACGTACGTGTATTTCAAACCTAATATTCATTTTGATAACAACATAATCATTCTTTCAGTGCACCATTCAGAGACTCGTAAGTATGAAATGTATTAATACTCACCATTCTTCTTTCACACATCATTCACTGATTTGCTACCATTTAGTAGCGAAGCATCACATAAATCGTCACTTTTGATCATAATCACGCGTTTGGTATTTGTCTCAAAACTAAAACACTAACAAAAGTACACTCAACGACATGTTGAAATGTTTTGATTGTATTTTGCCTTTAATTTCAACAAATTCATAATTTCTTACGTGAACTTATGTTTTTGGAAGGTTATATATAATTTTTTTTTCTTTAAAAAAATGGGAACTATTTATAAATATGCGAAAGTAATGGCATTGGGACTCCTATATATATTTGAACTGTACATGTTTATTTTTAAAGCATTCTGCATTCAAGCTAACCTACCTCATCTGCAGATGAGCAAACGATGTACTATAGCTATTTATTCAAACATTTTCTCCTCCAACTCAACCCCACATTGTTTTAGTGCATCCGCGTTACGCAAAACATTTACAACAAAATCACTTAGATGCATTTAAATTTCAAACCTTTTTTTGTTTACAGATGATGCTAATAGAAGGGGGAGAGGGTCGTTAATAACTGTTTTGATTTATATTTTATATACGCTGAAATAGAATTTTTCTATTTCAATTATACATGTTTATTCTTCATATGTTTTGTGTGTTCCATTTTGGTTTAAGTTCTACGTTTCTATGTCACCAAGAAACCAGACAACAGATACATGTGTTAATAAAATTTCAAATATTGTCATTTTATAATCATTAGTAATGATTAGATTCTTCTTTATAAACAAGAATTTCAACAATTTGTATCATATCTTAGCAGTTGTTAAGTAAATCAATATGCCAAAATTAAACGATATGAAAACAGGCCATTGTAGCCATATATATATACAACACTATAAACTGAAGCATTATTATATTCAGTAGGAAATGCATAAGAGATATCATAAACGTTTTAGGAAAGACCAAATTTTCATTAAGAATTATTAGTTGACTTAATATACAACAAAGATGATCCATTCCGATTCAAGCTACCGCAGGGAAAAACACTGATTAGTCAACATTATTAGTATCTACCATTCATTTGGTTTTTTTTGTATGCAAGAATGATAAGTGTTGCTTTGGTTGTACATTTGTTTGCCCTACTTTATAGGTATAAAAAGAGCAGTTTCGAAGAGCAGTAAGTATTTATATTTTTGAGATAATCCTCTTGATAAACAATATCGGTACTCATGAAGATGACAATACTGCCCAATCAGGGCCATTACATTTTTCCAAGAGAAATGTTTTATTCCACGCTAACAAATTTTGGGCATCAGTAGTTTACCGATGTTCGGTTTTTGTTTATTACCTTGATATGTCTTCTTAATCGATTCATAATATTGGAACATCGGTAAAATACTGTTGCCTTGATTTAGATTTTCTAATATTTGGGCCACGAGGATCACTGAACAGAGGTCGAAATGTATATTTGGTGCAGTAAAAAGGTACGGTTAACCGTGAATGTTATTACTACCACAGGTTATATCTACTTTTTGTTTTTTTGTTTTGTTTTACCAGTTGTTCAATGTTCGTATAAGGTTTTGGATTTTCAAATATTTTGGAATCGGGCATCTCTTAAGAGACTTTGATTGTCAAAATTCGCATTTAAAGTGGAGGAATTTTTACTCCAACTGGATCGATGTCTATATTCACCTCTACTACATTCCAAATTAAAATCATTTATTGTTTAAAGTATAAATGTTATTAACTTCTCAAAAAACCATTGTGATACATTATTGATTGTCTTGTTCAAAGGTTATTTTTTTAAGAAGTCTTTTATTGGTTATTGATAGGGTTTTATGTTCTGTATTGGATTTTGGCTGATTTCTGTAATCTCTTGTATTTATTATGTTATTGCCATAAATCATATATCATATTAAGGCGGGTACGTATACAAAGCTTAAAAAGCGAAACAAAATTGTTTATTTGGAATTGTGTATTATTGCATTTTCGATAACAAATGTGTCAATTGAAACTTTATTAATTATTTTATAGAATGCAAAGCGTTTTGTTTTCACTGTTCTGTTCGAAGAAGGAGTTAGAGAGCTTACGGAAAAATGTGGAAGTTTGTTTCTCTATCTTACGACATTTCTTTATATACATTAACCACTTGTACACGATAAAAAATAGTAGTGTATGCTGTGTTTATAAAGAAACGCAATAATCTGTTTCAGAAAATTGATCGCCCTGAAGATCATAAAAAACATTTCATTAAAATCAAATATGTCAATAAAGATTTTGATTTTGTAAATATTGCCTGTATTTTTAATAAACTGTTAACACAGAGATATGTCTCGCCTATTTGTTATTTTGCTAATGCAAATGTTGAAATTAGAATAGCAATACTAACATGTAAGTTATCAAATATTCAAAGTCAATGAACCATGACTGAAGGTACAGGGCTAAACAATCTCCATAGAAATGAGTATGCCAATGCTAATACAACTGCATACCAAATACCATTGACTTTTCATTAGTCGTTCCCTTTAAACAAACCTTAACACAAACATTAACTTGTAAATTATGTAAAAGTTTCAAAGTCAATGAACCATAATGAGGGGGTGGGGTTATATAATCTCCATGGAAATGAAACTTGCAAATGCCAATACATTTGCATACCAAATATCATTGACTTAATGGTTAAATTGACATTAGTGGTTCATCTTAAACTGACCTAATCACAAACTAATACTTGTAAACTAAGAAAAAGTTTCAAAGTCAATAAACCAGGACTGAGGGGTAAGGACCAAATATTCTCCATGAAAATGAGACGTGCTAATGTTTATACAACTGCATACCAATTATCCTTGACCTACCACTAACGATTCCACTTAAACTGACCTAATCAGAAACAAATACATGAAAAATAAGCAAACTTTTCAAAGTCAATAGACCATGACTGAGGGGGCGGGGCCAAATAATTTTCATGGAAGTGAGATATGCCAATACTAATACAACTGCATGCATACCCAATATCATTGACCTACCACTAGTGGGTAAACTTTTCACGTTAATTTTGAATTTAAGACTTATCACTTTTTTAGAAGAATATTTGTTGTTTAATGAAAAACAGTTTTTGTTTTAGAAAGGGCTATTCCACTATAGACAGCATATTTACTCTGCATATTTTATTTGAACTACTGAGACAAAAAAAGACAAAAACAATTGGTCAAAACTCATTTTACATACAGTGAATGGAAAGATGTATAATACTATATTTAATATGTATAAAAATGTCAAATCACGAATATTCAGTGATGGTGAATATGTAGATGTTGACGTTCCCTTGTCACCATCTTATGGTGTTTATATACCTCAATTTGTTCGATATGCCCGTGTATGTAACAACGTATTTGATTTTAACGAGAGAAATCTCTGTATTACTGAAAAATTATTACACCAGGGTTTTCGATACCACAAACTTGCTAAAACATTTATTAGATTTTATCATCGGTACAAGGACATCATTCGTAAATATAAATCAACGTGCAGACATCTTATACGTTCAGGTATTTCACATCCAATCTTGTATGGTAATATTCTATACAAAAATGTCGTCATTCATCTCAAAAGCTAACCAAACCTATAAAAAGACTTATTCAGAAGCGATTTCGTTACGATACTGTGTTCAGGTTATTAAAGATGACATTTTTGGAATTAACATTGATTGACTCATAGGGTCTTTGCATCCGAAATAAACACATTTATTCTAAAACCAGTTGTTGGCATGATACGCGTTATGATCTTCTCGTATATTTTATGATGGTATGATACTAAACCCCTTACGGGAGGGATTGTGCTTGATTTTCATATGATGAAGACATAATCTTTCATCAGTTAAATTGAGGTCTGGAACTGGCATGTTAGTAACTGCTAGTAGCCCTTTGTTAACTAATATTACGATGATATTTATAACTATACTGCCTTATTCAATTAACAACACAAACACACAAAATTTAGATCATTTTCTGGAGAGAGAAAACAAGAATTTGAAGCAACAATAAAACATCGAAAGTACAAAATTTCAACAAAAATCTAATAATTGTTGTCTGTTTCATTGTTCTTCGTCCAGAGACTGTGGTTAATCATGGAAATATTAGTTAATTGAAAATAGAATGTAAGTATCAACAATAGTTGGTCTAGCACTGTGGTGACACACGATAATAGATTCATGCATTAAAATACTTTGTATCATTATACTTCATATTAACAAAGGTCAGGATTTTATTGGTAAATGCAAGATAACATTCTCCACAAAGATATAGCGCAGTGCGTAGTAATTTTCCAATGATACCCTCTCGTAATACAGTAGAGGCAACAGTAGTTTACGGATGTACAAATTTCAAAAATCCATTAAGAAGATACAAATCAAGGTAAAAGACAAATTTGAATGAATGGCATGAAATCTATACGGAGCGAGACCGGGTGCATCGACAGGGTATCCGTCTCTCGTTATACATACATCATCCGCCATGCAAAACATCACTCAGTCACTATTCGGAATAAGACATAATCGGAAAATCGAAAGATCAGATGATTTTTCTAGTATCTTAAGATCTAAGACCGCGAAAAATTGTCGTAAGTAACATTGAATTGGCCAAACAGTTAGGAATTAGGAAATAAAACTGGAAAACAAGGTTAATCATTGAAAACACAACAAGGGTGGACACTCTGAAATGTCTCGCCTGTATTACTGATAATGTTTGATTTCTATGATGAAATTCTAAGAGGAAAAAGGTGACACAGAAAGTATTATATAAAATTAACATTATCAATGTTCCAAGTAAATAAGGTCAGGGTCAGGCAAACCCTGTCAGATAAACATGTACGTTTAACTATAATTCCATACACCAAAAATAGTTAACATTTTGCTTATAGTATCTGAGAAACAGACCCACACAAGAAAAGTAAACTTTGAACAATGAATCATAAAAATGAAGTCAAGGTCAAATGAACTCTGCAAGAGAGACATGGATACTTTGCAATTATTACATACATCACATATAGTAAACCTTTCGCTCATAGTATCTGAGAAAAACAAACTTAACTGTGAAATCATAACGCTGACTTTTGAACCATCGAAATGAGGTAAAAGTCAGAATGTCAGACAGACATGTACACAATACAATCATGTCATACACCAAATATAGTTGACCCAATGCTTATAGTACATGAGAAACATGAGAGACCTTACCACGAAAACCTGATATTGACTAATGAATCATGAAAATTAGAACAAAGTCAGACGACACTGGCAGACTTGTACACTTTACCATTATTTCATACACCAATATAGTCCACCAAAACATATGAAAATTTCTTATAGTATCTGAGAAATAGACTAGAATACAAAAGCTTAAGATTGACCAGTTAACCATGAAAATGGGACCAAGGGCAGATAGACCTGCCAGACAGATATGTATACCTTACAATCCTTCCATACACCAGATATAGTAGATATACTGTTTATAGTATCTGAGAAACAGACTTAAACACAAACACTAAACATTGACCAATGCATCATGCAAATGAGGTCATATTAACCTCGCTTAACAGAAATGTGCACTTTACAATCACTCCATACACAAAATATAGTTGACCTACTGCTTATAGTGTCTGAGATACGAACTAAGCTACAAAAACTTAACCTTGACCAGTGATCCATAAAATGAGGTCCCTGTCTGACGGTCACGTTAACCTTCCAAGGATACAACATAACAAATACAATTATCCTAATATTCATTATAAGTGATATATTCACATGACAAAAAAAAAACTATAAAGGAAATGAGATCAAGGACAATGGACATATGAAAGACGGCAAATTTGTAACATAACGCACCTGATATACAAGTTATGAAGCAATCAGTTCTTCTCTCCCATGACATATATAGTTGACATGTATACAAACAGATTACGCCGCCGCTGTTGCCAGCGCCGCCGTCGGATTGTAACTCCTACGTCTCGCAATCTGCGACTTTCGTCGCAGGCGAGACAATAAAAACAGAACATTCAGTAAAATAAATTTTAAAAAATAGATATAATTATATTGATCTAAACATTTGATGTGCAACGATACTGATAAAGAGAATAATATACGAATCAGATCAAGTAATATCTTATTGACAAATATATCGGCACTACAAATTGATATCGTTATAGAGCGTGATAATATTTTGTGAGGGATGTTCATAGTATAGCATCGTCATTAACATCATCGTAATATTGGTCACTGAACGTTGCAAAACTAACCTATTTATGTATCATAAATCAAAGGAATGATCATAAAAAGTCATATAATTTGAAGCAGCATAATTAGTTCTGTTTTGCGTTAAAAGTATAGGATAAGCTTTAAACGAATAATATCAGCATCCAATTACCAAATGGAGATAGTTGCACGCCTGACGAAGCTAGATTGTCTTTTCAATCGAAATATAACGTTTATTGCTTTATCACATTGTAACGATTTTATATAGTTTGCGTACCAAAAAGTGTGTAACAATCATACTGGATTTTATTGCTTGGAACCCTCCCTTTTTTTCCTCGATTTTTTTTAATTATTTTTTTTTTTAATTATGTGAACGTTTCATGGTGTTCCGGGGGTTGGAACCTCCTTTTCAAAAATGGCTGGATCCGCGCCTGAATCCACACTAAAAATAGATTGGTCTTTTGTGTCTTTTGTCTTTTTGTTTATTACTTTTTTGTGTTCCATGCTGATGTGATGAGTCAAGTCATGTCTAACTGATTTTTATTAGTTTTTTCTTATGTTGTGCTATTCTACTGTCCCATGTTGAGCGCACGCTAACATGTTTAACCCCACCACATGCTGTGTGCGCCTGCAATTCAGTGCATGGTTGTCGTTCTTTGTTGGTTGTGTTATTTGTTTTCGTTAATTGTTAGGCCGTTGGTTTTCTCGTTTGAATTGATTTATTACATATAATTACACCGGGAACGTGTATAGCTCACTATACGGTATGTTTTTTCTCTCTGAGTTCGTAATTGACGGCGATGTTCCTTTGGCTCCTTTATATATCCCAACTCGTTCGTTATGCCCGTGTGTGTAGTGATGTCATAGATTTTGACGAACGTAATCAATGTATCACTGGTAAATTATTAATTCAGGGATTTCGTTACCATAAATTACTTAAAACATTTACTAAATTCTTTCATAGATACAAAGATTTGATTAGTAAATTTGGCTGTACCTGTAGAAAACTTATAAAAACGGTATTTCACATCCTAAATTTTACGGTAATATTGTACTAAAAGCGCGGAAATCACTATGTGATCCGTGTAAATTTCTCGAACCTCTAAACAAACTTATTAGTAGAGGTTATCTTATTAATGTTGTAATAAGATCTTTGAATATCGTTTTCATTGGTACGAACATCGATTTTTTCATCAACAAATTAAAACATAACTAAATTTGTATTCTTTTCGAATGTTTTTTTTTTTGGGATGTATATATACACATCCACGTTTATTTTATATTTAGAAATTGTTTTATCTTTATATAACATCATACACATTTATTATAAGGTTAAATCCTAACTATGAGGGGGGTAGGACCTTTATCGGGACTCTGGGATCGGGTGTTTTTAAGCTCGGGATTTCGGGATTGATCCTTTCGGGATCCGGGAATTCTTTTTTCGAATTTCGGGATGTCGGGATTTAAATTTTTTTAAATTCGGGACCTCGGGATTCCATGTTTTAAAGCCCGGGATTTTGGGATCAGGACCCCTTTTTTGTTTCTGATTAGGTCAGAATATGGTATTGTATAACATAAGGTAAATCATAAATAGTTGATAACCAAAGATATTTTCCTATTACGTGTTTGGATATATTTGTGGTGTTTTAAATCAGTTTTTTTATAAGAATTTTTTTTTTTTAATAAACACCATTTATTATTCAGTTATTAAAAGGGAACTAGGGGATCCAGTATTTGTTATATTCATCTCCAGAGAGGTTTTTAAAGGAAGTGTATTTGTCTAAATTCAGTTTTTCAAGCTTTTAAATTTTGCAATACTTCTTGTGACTTTGTTCAAATTACTATTTTCGAAGTTACTATAATACAATAATGTCGATATTCAAAGGCAGTTTGATAAATTTGTCATTTCAAAAATCCAATTGTTTAGTGTTAATGAATGATTGATTATATCCTCTATAAGTGACACTCAGTCTTGACAGCTGCGGCCCCGATGAAAGCGAGACAGGGATTGCTTTTCCGGTGACGGCGACGGTTTTCAGCTTAAGTTAGTTTGATAGGAACTACTTGTGATAGATCAATGATATGTTGTACAAAGTTGCATAACTATCATTTCATGTCAGTTTGACAACTAGTTTTAGACTTCCCCCCCCCTAGGTCATGGTCCAGAGACTTTGAATTAATTAGCATATTTCAATGTTAAGTTTTCTGCTTAAGTTAGATTGATAGGAACTACTTACAATAGACAACAATATTTTCTATAAAGTTACATTGCTGTTTGTACATCTCAGTTTGTATATATATCTTTATTCTCAAACAGCCAATGCATACCCATTTTGAGACCCTGCCCACTAGTTAATGGTCCAGCGACTTTGAATTGATTAGCAATGTTGCTGGGTCTGGATTGCGGATATAATTCACTTTGTATTACCATTGAAAATGTCTCTCCTTTTAAAGCAGTTTACAACATTTTTTTTGGATCTTTTGTAAATTAGAATAAATGGGTTTTTTGTGTTCAACTAGCTGATACAAATGAAAAGCATGCACAATCGTCTCTGTCTCATGTCTTGTGTAAAGGCTGCACATAGAAATGACTCTAACATATATTTTTTCATAAGTTGCTAAATTCGATAACTTATAAATTTAAGTTTTGAAAGTTAATCGTAAGTTATACCAAGATGTTCATGACCTACGAATCTCATGACCTAGTTCAGTACTTTATTTATAACAAACCTTTCTCAAATTGTCCGTTTACGAATTAAGAAATCATAAAGAAACTTAGGTTTCAACTCCCTCAGGCAAAGTTGACATTAGATGAATTGGCTATATTTTCATGTCCTTTTTTGTCATATAGATCTTCAACTGTTGTGGTTTTATACATCCTTGGCTTTCAAATATACGACTTTAAGCGTTCCTGATGAAGATAAATCCAGAAAACAGCGCTTCAGATGCAAGAACATTTATAAGGTGTTGTTTGAATTTTTTAAGAGTATTTTTTCTCTTAAAATTGATATATGAAGTTGATCGCTGAACTTAAATTATTCGTCCTGGTTGTACATATTTTAATATGAAGCAAATTTAGATTGAATCAAATTCGTCAATACTTACAATATTAAAAAAAAAGAACATATTTCAATTCTATTTCATTTATTTCTCATTTTAATTTCAACAGTTATATACATGCAGGCTAATTTCTGCATTATCATCAAAACATCTGCCACATATTTAATATGACAAAAAGAATACGATCACCGCGATATGATTTAAAAAAAAATCTATGATTTTTATTAAGATTTGTCAAGTGTATCAACACATGTACACGGAAGACAAAGTTTCAGCTGAATAAAATAACCACTTCATAAAAGAGATTAAAATCAAATCCCAGTCAATACTGGTTCATTTGACAAAACATGTCAATCGAAAGATTATTTCTCACATGTCCTGTGCATGGGAGTCGATGCTACTCTCAAAGGACTACGTTGCCCACGAATCAGAACAAAACAACTAAGCTTTAACACAAATCATAAAATATTCCATAATTAATCAAAGTCAGCCATTGTTGCTTCAAAAAGTATCACTCGAAACTAAATGTAGATGTATAAACTCTCTGTGAATGTTCACTTCTTGCTTCGACTTTGAGTTCGGTTCCACTGAAAATCATCTTAACATTAACGTCTCTTTGATAGCCACTGAACGTATTAGGAATTGTTATTTCGAATCGCCCAATTATTTTGCACCCTTTATCATCCACAAAAATTGGATTCTTTGACTCCGATGACACAACTGGAAGAGACAATACTGTTTGATCTGGATAAAGTGGAACATACGTCTCATTTGATATTGGCGAACCCGTTTCAACAATTTGATCTATAGTAACGTGAATGTCAAAGACGTCTTTACAGTACTCCTTGCCATTTATATTTAGTAGTTTGCTTATTGGATGCTTCCAGTGTAGGAATTTACTAGTTGTACTAACTCCATATGTATAAGGAGACATTCGATATCGAATCTTTTCAGGGCAATGCCCGAACTCAACAGCTCCTTCAACAACAGCCGAACTTGGATTCTCAGGTGTTAAAATGTTAATCCTAGGAAAGGCTTTTTTTAATTCTGTTTGCAATAACCTACTTTCTCCAAATCCACCAACTAAAACAATGGTTTCTATTGCATGACAACGCAATGAATCTAGGACTCCCTTTACGTGCTCGGTGATGTTTCTTATTGGCTGGTCGAAAAATCTTTTAACAACTACGGAACTAAGTTTTAGCTTGCCAGCTATTAATGTCTCTGGTCTTGCAACCTGAATAAGGCTCACAGGTAGTTGAATAGTATACATTTTATCTTCTGTATCGACCCTTTTCTTTAGTGACTCGAATTTTTTATTAAGCTCTATAATATCATCTTGTTTAAGTGATATAAATTTGTCATTAAATGTTTCATACAAGTACTCTTGAAATGCGTCATCAACTTTTATTCCTCCCCAAAGTCCTCCCGATGCTCTGTGAATCTCTTTCAATGATCCATCATGTCGAACTTCGTGTACCGTGACATCAACAGTACCTCCTATAGACATAATTGAGAAAATTTATTATTGGTGCAGTTAACATAACTTTATTATCTTAAATGTATTTAATACAATTTATGTAAAAACTAGTGGTTTCTAATTTTCCTCATCCCCTGACAAAAAAGTAAAACTGATTCAGGTTTTTCTTTTTAGAAACTTGTGACATAGATAAGTTTGCTAAATCAAAAACAGCTATACACTGTTATTTGGAGACGTTTGACCTTTTTGTCGTTTAATTTTGAATGGGATAGTCTGATCTTTATCTGCATTCAATTGCCTTGATGTTTTTATATCTTGTTCTGGGATGGTTTTTTTTATATTAGTTCGATATTTTCAAATTGTAATTGTCCGCTATATTTTATATATTTATATTCATACATCTGTCCATCTGTTATATTTTACATTGCTCTATTATGGTATTAAATGCGGTTAACAACTTATATATACTAGCTCAGTGTACTACATAAGTGTTTAATTAACATACAAGAGCTTTTACTTTTATCTTACATATAAAGATCATTCTGAAATATATTTGTGCAAAATGAAATAAATAACGTTCAAATAGTTGCAAGAAAGCAATAGCAAGTATTCACCTCCACAGTCTAGAAGCAAAAATTTAGCTCCTGGTTGAACTGGTGTTAGACCTGATCTACATACACCTAACTGACAATAAAGCGCTGCAGACTCTGGTTCTAGTGCTAATGTCAGCTGACATCCGGGTATCCCTGCCTGACAATTTATGAGAAATAAAAATGTATGAATAGTGTCAAAGAATTATTGCTAGCTGACATCAAATGTAGAACTTATAAACATAAATAATTTCGATTGTTTTGAAAGACAACTATGCTTTATAAAATCAATAGTGGAAAAACAAATCATGAAAGATACCATGCTTCTAATTTTGTAAGACAGACGCGCGTAACGCTCGAATCAGACAAGTTAAAATTCAAAATAAAGAACGAAGTTGAAGAGCATTTATGACCAAAAATGAATCTATTTTGAATAAATTAAATGCATCTGTATAAAATAAATGAAGCAAATAAATCATAAATATACATTGTTTCTTTCCTTTCCCCGACAATTGATACTACAATACTTACCAATGTCATACAATTTCATATATTTTTTTTATTATTTTAAAAGAGCACGAGTAATAGAAACTATAATATCTTTTATCTTTTAATTGGAATAGATAATTTTACCTTTTCTGCAGACTTTCTCATAAATTTTTTAGCAGGCTCATCCCAAATAGCAGGCATTGTAAGGACCCAATGTATATCATCTTTCCGTAGTTGTGGCAAGCGTTCTTGAAAGTGACTAAATAGATGTTCCTTTAAATATTGTATACCTCCACTGAACACGTCAATTGCTAACATTGGTTTGTTAGTACAATCAGGGATAGTTGTCCTTTCATTTAAACTCTGAAATACAATGAAAGGACAACAGTTACAAGTGCAGCATTTATTGTTACAAAAATTATATTACTACTTGATGTTAAACTTAAACTAAATCAACTAATTATTCTGAACATTTATCTGAGTTCTATACTAAAGCTTATGTAATGCTATTCTACAACATGTTAAAGCTATTGCTTCCATATCTGGTTTTTTTTTGTTGATTTAGGTTATTTCGTTTTGAGATGGATTTTTATCTGTTTTCGTATTATTCTATATTGTTTTATACCTTACTTTTGAATACATACTGAGATTGCTTTGAAATGATAAAACACTCGGGTTCTAATTTTTACAGCGGACAACACATAGGAATGGAGGAGCCCTTCTGTTCGTATATTCGGCCGATGTTCTTTCGATCGTTCGTTTATTAGTTCGTTCGTCTTTGCCACCAACATCTGTATAGGCAGCTACTTCTGTGTCGCTCGCTATATAATTTTGTAAACCTCCAAAGAATCGTCATCGTTTGATGTGTCTTTATACCTATATTTCATTTCTTCACAACAATTTCGTTTGGGTTTTACCTTGACATGAAATGATCTTTTTTTCATATAAGCACAATACCGTTCACATTCCGTTTCTCCTTTTTAAACATTGATTTGCATTTCTTGATAGATTTAGGAGATTTGAACATCAATTAAGTACTGTTGCCTAAATTTATCTCATCGTCAGAATTTAATGAAACTTTCCATAACCTAAGCCGTAAAGCAACTGTGTGTCTCCTTGTTTGTGTTTTGTATGAATTATTTGTGGTACTGTCCGCAGAAAATCATGGCTCTTGCATTATTTCTATGATATGTTAATTTTATCTAAATCTATATATAAATTGTAATCTATATGTGATAATCATTAATTTATCTCTGCATTATACTAGTTCTACCCTATAATATGAAAAAAAAGAAGATGTGATATGATTGCCAATGAGACAACTCTCCACAACAGATCAAATGATACAGAAATTAACAATTATAGGTCACCGTACGGCCTTCAACAATGAGCAAAGCCCATACCGCATAGTCAGCTATAAAAGGCCACGAAAAGACAAATGTAAAACAATTTCAACGAGAAAACTAACGACCTAATCTATGTACAAAATATTGAACGAAAAACAAATATGTTACACAGCAACAAACGACTATCACTGAATTACAGACTCCTGACTTGGGACAGGCACATACAGAATGTGGCGGGGTTAAGTACGTCTTACGTAAAACAAGTTAATATTAGCACAAAAGTTACCCTCGGCAACTCATGTCAGTAGGACATCTTTTTTTGAATCACGCTAGATAAAATCAAGCATTTTTTACCTGCTGTGATTTTCCATCCTTATATCTTTCTTGGTTTTTGTGCAGTGTAAGTTTAAATCGTTTGAAGAAATACCAGTTCCTATTCTCGTTGTTATGTGATAGTCTAGCATACTTTTCTTCTGCTTCATAACCAAAGGAATCAAAGTCTCTCCTAGGTGTAAACAAAATGCTGGTTGGGGTTTTAGGAGTCTGTGTGATACCTTTACTCCAATTATATGTGTACACTTTCTCCTTTTCGCTGATACTAGAGAAAGCATATCCACTGTACGTCGTACCGAAATCAATGGCAACAACTAATAGCTTACTAGAACTCATCCTAAATCGACAAAAAAGGTATTATATTACCCACGTTTCTGTAATGTAATATCGTTTGGGTAAATATATTGGTATAAAAACAATCTATTTAAGGGTATTAACACCATTGTATTCCCCTGTCAATCTTTGTTAAATTGACATTTTTCAAAAAGATGCGCTTATTTCTGTTTTAAATAAAGAAATACTTAGCATGAGTAAAGTTTTATCCTGTCTAGTACTACAGGGAAAATTTCACATATCATTTCATTGCATATAAGATAATAATCATCACCATGAGGAAACCAATTAAATGTGCACCTCTTTTTTCTGTTTACAAGCTTTAGTGACCATGTCACCTCAAATTTCCAAAATACTTTATAGAAACACCAAATTAAAAAAGAATGGTGCTTTGAAACACCCAAGATATATTCGTATACGAATATGACATACTATGTTTTGGTGATATTACACCTTGACATATAACACAACGAAATTCTCATTTTAGGTCTATACGTCGTGTACATGTTATTATTTTGTACAAGTTATTACCTGTACAAAAACTTTGTACAAGTAATTACTCACATGTTACAAGTTTACACTTTTGCGCTTAGTAATAAATTATTTGTTTAAAGTGAAAAGATTTGTTGTGAACGGCAAATAGTCCAAGGTAGAATAATGATGTGTACAAGTTATTATCTTTTACTCAATAAAGATTGGGCAAGTAATTACTTAATTACTTGTTCAATTGTATTTGTACAAGTAATAACTTGTATGATGACATCATACAAGTAATTACTTGTACAAACTTTTTGTACAAGTAATTACGTGTACAAAATAATAACATGTACACAACATATATATACATAGATATAAGAAGATGTGGTATGAGTGCCAATGAGACAACTCTCCATCCAAGTCACAATTTGTAAAAGTAAACCATTATAGGTCAAAGTACGGCCTTCAACACGGAGCCTTGGCTCACATCGAACAGAAAGCTTAAAGGGCCCCAAAAATGACTAGTGTAAAACCATTCAAACAGGGAAACCAACGGTCTAATCTATATAAAAAACTTGTAAACACATGTTAAATAGTTGAAAAAACTTTTTTGTCTGAAATTCTTTTTTTTCAAACACTTTTGACATTTGTCAGTTTATTTTCGACTAATGAGTTTGAATGTCTTTTGGGATCTTTCGCCTTTCTTTTATTGCCTTGTTGCTAAAACTTCCACCAACAAGTAACGTAACCCTAATATAATATTATCCTTCAATTTTTGTGTAGTGAATTTGCATTTATATAATGAAACACATAGGCTGGCACAACATAAATGAACAAAGGTATACATGATGAGATTCATTTAATCAACCCTGCAGAAGATAATAAATAAACAAACACTTGAGTTTCACTTGACATGGTCCCCTCAGTTTCACTGTTTGAATGTCTATTCTTGTGCAGATGGGTATTGTTCCTCTATTTACAGCGTCAACCAATGCAAACCACAACAATTGTTACCTGAAGGGAACATCTCAAACATTTTCCAAAATTAGTTTACTTAAACTTTCGTTGGAAAGAAAACAAATTGCCTATCTAAATCCAGAGAAGTATAACATTTAGGTCCAGCTATGCCTGAAAATTTTCAGTTGCACTGTAATGTCGATGCACATGATACATTTTGAGGTGTAACAGCAGCCATATTTGACAAAAGGTTTTAATGAAGTTGTTTAGTTTTTATCTCTCAGCACAAATATATGCATAGAAAAAATAAATGTTCTCTATGGGTATTTGATAACTATTTATGTTAGATGGTAAATGGTTGAAAAGTAACGCATCCGTGATCTTTTGTAGTCATTATGCAGAACTTTGTTTTTTTTTTCATTGTATATTGTACATGCATACTGAAAATTTTCAATACCTTTTTATAGTTCCGGGACTTTAAAATTGACCTGTTTTGAGTCAATGAACAACTTCAATGTAATATATAATATATATCATACATATATGGCTTCTAATTTATACATGTAATGATTGTTTTCTTATGGAATTTTGCGTTCTTTAAACACGGTTACTAGGTTTAGCTAGCTATAAAACTAGGTTTTAATCCACCATTTTCTAGATAAGAAAATGCCTGTACCAAGTCAGGAATATGACAGTTGTTATCCATGCTTTTGATGTGTTTGAGCTTTTGATTTTGCCATTTGTTTAGGGACTTTCCGTTTAAAATTTTCCTCGGAGTTCGGTATTTTTGTTATTTTACTTTTTACACACCTGTGATTCCCTTTGGTGTTATGATTCTGCCTCCTTCTTGTCAGATAATTGATTAACTTGCATGTAAACTATAATATCTGACCAATAGTTAAAAGACAGGAAAGACATTCATACTAAATACCTCAAAGTAAACAAGCCATTGATTTGCCTTTTTACTGATTCATTAAGGCTTGATTGAACTGTAATTTCATTTTCGAGTATTCGAAAGTGTGGACCTCCCCAAATGTATGTGTATTGTTTATTGAGGTAATCAGCTCACTTTTGCTAGAATGTACCAACCTGAGGTAGCTCTTTTCATGTTCCAAATCATGTAAATATTTGTTTTGTTGAGAAAAGATATTTGTAATCAAAATGGTTGATACAAAATTTCCTGTAGTGTTTGTAATGCGCAGAACGCAAATATGTTTCCTTAACTGTGTTCAAACAAACAAAAAATCAACAAAGATACCAGCTGGTTTATCTACATAAGACTGATCAATGACACTCGAATCAAAACAGTTGGAAGGTCAAATCAAAGTTGAAAATCAACCCATACCACAGAAATAAAAGCATCTTACCTGAAAATAAACGAATCATTGAATGATATCTTCGTCTATCTTCAAATTCCTATAGAATTTTTTACTTTTGTTTTCGCTTTTTCAAACCGTTAACTTTTCAGAAATGAACTAAGATATTTTTAGACAAGGGTTTAATTTAACTGTATTTATAATTCTTTAGCTGGCACATACTGAATTCTTTTTGTACATATTTATGTTCCCGCAATTATGTTTTAATACACATTATTGTTGATCATAAGTACCTGAAATAATGATCAGATGTTGATAACACCCAGAGTATCTATATTTTTTAAACTTTTATCATTTTTATAATTATAAGTGAATATCGATATTCAGTTTTATTATGTGACTATGCTTAAAGCATAGAAAATCTTCTTTGGTAAAAAATGATTATCATCGTTGAAACAATGATTTGAGGTTACTGTTAGATTTAAAACGGATAATGTTTAGCTAAATATAGAAACGGGTTCTTTTTATGAGCTATTAAAGGGATGTATAGATAAAACAACATTATATGACGACCGAATATATATCAACTAATCAGCACTTTCATCATAAAAGCGTGTCGATATAGCAGAACAGGTAAAAATGTACACTTCGTACAGAAAGACCATAAAACAAATTACACGTATTCGACTTGAAGCGTTCTTGATGAAGGTAAATCCAGAAAGTGCTTCGGACGCATGAATTTTAACGTGTTGTTGTCGTTTTTTATCACAGACTAGTAAAATGAACCAGTGGAGATATTTTACAATCTGAAAGTATTAGAATTATACAAAGCCCTATAGTTTATGAATGTAATAAAACCAGATTAAAAGTTATAGTGATACTAGGCAAATGAACAAAATAGTGCATTATCAAAAAATGGTGGTTTATAAATATTTCACGAGTATAAACAATCTCTAAAATAAAGTTAACAAACTGGCAAAGCAGATAATATTATTAGTATAAAAATAAGGAACAGTTAAATATCTTAGGCAAATACTAAAAATGCAGATTGATAAGACATTCATTTAATAAAACAATTGTTGACTTTTGATATCAGTCGATACCGCGATACAACATTTATTAATTCTTCAACATTTGTATTATATTTTGGATTTTTAAATATTTAGGTCTTGAGCATCACCAAAAGAGACATTAATTGTCGAAATTCCCATCTGGTGCAGCAGTGCAATTTGTACCGTTAATATTGTTATTATCAACTCCAGAGATATGATATTCACCTCGAATGTTGGCCTCGGGGAATAACACATCAAAGTAAAATATTGTATACCATTGCTTATAGTACATTATCAAATATATAAGGAATCCGCATACTATTTGACTAGACAACATCATGACTTTGCATAAAACTAACATAAATCTCCTCACGTTTTCGTGAAGTTAAACATTCTTTGATTTCAAATGTTTGGATTTGAGCATTCCTGATGAAGGTTAAACCTGAAACACGCTTCGGACGAGCGATGTGTTTTTTTCCATTTACATCGAAATGATGTCTTAAATGGAATGCTATATTTAGTTGAATTCAAAATGGAGATAATTGTATTTTTATTAATAGCTTTGACTGCTTATAAATTGAAACATGGTTTTACTGTAACAGTTGACAAACAGTTGCAAACATCCGTTTACCTAGCTGGGTTAACTTAATTTGTGACGTAAAACCTAATGTTTATTTAGGCTAAGCTTTCAATACAATATATTTATCTCCTATCACATAATTTTGCGTAGTCTTAAGGTTTCTATATATTAATTCGTTATTGTTGTATGTCCTTTTGTTATTTCGTTATTTTGTTTTGATCTTTGGCCTTCGGGAAGTTTGTTTTATTAGACATTGTTTTTGCCTATTGGTATCTTCTCTTTTTTGTTTTTACTCCAACAGTAGTTTTTGCGTTCTGAACTTGTCAATTGTTGATTTTACATTTTCTCTGGACAGCTTGAATGGCTTTGTTTATATCATTTCAGTAATAAAAGGAAGCTGGTATTGTCCCTCAAGGCTATAACACATAAATTAACTAACCTCCTGAAACTTCTGGTTTTGTCGACATCTGACTACGAATTAGTTGATTTAGATTAAAATTTCACTTCTGCCTTTGAGGTTCAATTGTCTAGTATGGAGGTCAGCGGTGGCTGGTCTGAATCCAATAAGTAGATTACTAATTCCTTTAACGGATCTATTTGGTAAACACTGATTTTTTTCGACGAAAATCAAGGTAAACATGTTCTAGTGCCTCAAAGGTTTTTTTTGTTTTAAAACAAATATCTCTTATCCACAAATAAGTCATGGAAGTACATATTTTGTAATCAGTCTCATGCATGCGGTAGGTGGCAACCCATAAGTTCTATGAAAACCAGTACCAGGAAAATGTATTAAGTTTTTTCTACCACATGAAATGCGATCATTTATGTTGGCTGTCGTCTCATTTTGTACGTTTTTACAGATCTAATTATACCAAAATGGGTGGCAGTATTTGACGCATATACTTCTGTGCCCTTTTTATTCAAGCCAGAATTTGAAAACGCAATAATTTAGGTGATATTTGCGTCAGAATTGTACCCTATTCATGGTGAATAATACATTTTTTCACGGTGAGCGTATGAACTAGTTACATTCAACATCAATTGAAGATCGAATGCAGAGTCGGCTTCTAAAGCAAAATAGTCAGCAGCAGTCGGAAATCCAACATATATTGACCCGATATGTGTTCCCAGTTTGTTAGATTCCGAGAAGGTCAATTATGGATGTTTTGGATGGTCCAGTAGACCATGGTAGATGAAATCCACATTGACGAACTCCTTGTTTGATTGGAAAAGTTTCACATAGACATCCACCCCATTTTACTTTTAAGGTTAAGCTAGTATACCATGAGTTAATAGTTTTGCCATAAACTCAATTAAAGAATAAGTTACATTTTAAAAACTGTTGAGCGACAACATTGAATGCCTATTGGGAGTTCAAAAATGTTTTTTTTTTTTTTATTATTTTGAAAGATTGAGTTCCTTCCCTTGTAAAAGATATTTGTTCATCAGTATAGCTGACAGTAATATAGCGGCATTCATTCAATACAGTAATTGAGAATTCTGAGAAATTTATCTACCTTGGCAGTGTAATTAGTAAGGACAAGGGAGCTGGAAAGGATATCAAAGCCAGACTTCTAAAACCACGAACTTTTGCACGACTTCAGCCAGCATAGACCAATACAGTCTAAAGTCCAAACTAAGAATCTATAACAGCAACTTTAAATCTGTACACAAAAACAACAGAGATCAAATAAAGACGTTTTAAATGGCTAGGCCATGTATTGCGAATGCCACACGACCACATTGTAAAGACAGCTTTGCATATGACACCATTGGGAAGGAGAAAGCCAGGGAGACCACGCAACACCTGATGAAGAACAGTTACATCAGAACTACAAGAGATAAGTTACAGCTTGGAAAAAGCACAATATTTGACAAAGAATAGACAGAGGTTGAAGCTTATGTCCCACCGGAAACGAAGACTATAGGTAGGTAGGTAGGTATTCCTGGTGAAGCAAAATTGTAATGATGACTTATTTAAAGTAAACAGATGTTCACAACCCGTGTACTGCAGTAAAACTTGTTAAAGTATTTTTCCTATTGTGCATGAAACAGTTATGCCTTTGTGGTTATCAAAATCTGCAGCATCTTTATACCTTTGCAGATCAGCGTAATGTTTTTGGACACAAATTGTGACGGTATATAATAATGTTAAATATTAATTCTTTACATAGGACATACAGCATGTACAGTGATCTTAAAATGACAGGACTTGCAAGTTTAAGATACTCCTTACAAATTTTCAAATTCATCCCACGCTTTGTTGTATTTGAGCTTTCGAATGGCGGATTTAATTCCGGCAGGCTCAAAAGTTGAGAAGTTATCATATTTTCCCAGAACTATTTGTCGAACACGATCTATGTGCAGTTAACAGTTTTCCGATAGTTAGTGTTCAAGTTGTTTTGAAACTTTTATCAAGATCAAAAATAAGATGGATTTCATTAAAAAAGCATTGTAGCTTGTCAGCACTTCTGTATTAACATGAATTATCATTGATATGGTCATAATTATAAATTAACTGTTTACAAAACTTTGAATTTTTGAAATACTAAGGCTTTTTTACCTCAGGAATAGATTACCTTAGCTATATTTGGCAAAACTTTTAGGAGTTTTTGGTCCTTCAACTTCGTACTAGATTTGGCCTTTTTAACTTTTTTTGATTCAATCGTCACTGATGAGTCTTTTGTAGACGAAACGCGCGTCTGGCGCAAATACAAAATTTCAATCCTGGTATCTATGATGAGTTTATTTGATACTCCTCTTCTGATGAGTTGGTGAATAAAGGCAACAGTAGCATACCGCTGTTCAATAGTCATAATTCGATTAAGCAAGAACAAATCCGGGTAACAAACTAAAACCGAGGAAACACTTTAACTTTAAGGAGGAAAACAACGGAACAACAGAAACACTGAACTACAACAAAAGTAAACGCCAACATACATAGAAACGGGCTGTAGATAACAACTGCCATATTCCTGACTTGGTACAGAATATTTTAAGAAAAATGGTGAATTGAACCTGGTTTTATGGCTAGCCAAACCGCCCGCTTATATGGCAATGTTAAAAATACGCTAAAATGACAACACTATGTGACAGGAATACAGTACAAACAATCGCAAGAACACTCAGCACATAGAAATACATAAACAGATAATATAATAGTACATTACAACATGTAAACCGCAGAATAACAATGGACACCTCCTATGCATTTACGACAGCACACCAGTAC